ACTAGTCGTAACGCATACTCTGAGGAAATCCGCTTCCTAAGTCAAATTTTCACGCATCAAAAAGTCAGTTTGAACTTTCTTTCAGCCGGAAGGACCCATGTAATTTTGAAACTTCAAACATGTATTTCTCAAAATAGCAAAAACTGCATTTATGCGCCTTGTCCTCCAAGCCTCTGAATTGAACCGCTTATTTTCAAAATCACGGAAGCGCCAATCTCTATTTTGGTGATAAATGGGTTGCTTTTTCTTTGTTATCTCTGGTATTATCAATCATGTCTGATTTCTAAATAGCCTTGTAAAAGAACATATATTTTTTGGAATTTGAAGATTCTCAACAAAGCGAATAAAACGGTTTTTCTTGTTTTTCTCGCATTCGCAATTTTGGCGCTTACGTGGTTTGGAAGATAATCTGTTCGAATGCCCCCGATTTATGGGCTTTCATTTGTAAATATTTTTTTCGAATTTTGTTGGTAATGAAGTATGAACGCGGGTTGGGGTGGTTAAATTGAGAAGAACAATGAATATAGAAAGCGCCATCAGGTGTTTTTAAGATTACGCCCTCATCATTTTAATATGACCTTAATTATCTCGACTTATGGCCTTTTTTATTGGGAAATTGTCGGCCAATTTTATTCTTGTTTTCAAAAGGAGAATTTTTTCCCCTATAGAGGAAAGAGCCATTGGTGCACGAGCTAACAGTCACAGAACCGAAATTCAATGAAGTGAATAGAGGTTTACTTCGAGAGGTTTTTTTCGAGGAACCGAAGTCTCCATTCTCCAATACCTACGAAAACTTCAAGTCGATATGGGAATGTCCGTATGAAAAAGAGTTTTTTGATTCTTTGAACTGAGTTGTTCATGTTATTTTGTGCGTTATTAATATTCACGTAAGTTTCATCCATTATGAGGAATTGATCGAAGATCGTAAATCATCAAGAGAAAGTGAGGAAAACGGGTAAAAAATAAAGTCTCCCGATCCCGAGTTCGATCAATTTCGAGTCCGGATGATTATTTGTTTATGGTACACGTAAAACGAAGCGTGATAGCTTTTATGTTCGATTCTTTCCTTATATTACCACTGAGGCTTTCCTTTCAGAAGGATTTGGCAACACTGTAATCACCTGCTTGCGACGAGTCGTATAGACATCGCACATTAGTCAAGTCTGTCCCCTGCTTGCTCTCCTCCTTCAGCTTTGGCCGTGACCAAGGTCGTAGGGCAATGAAGAGTAGTGGAAACTCGATAAAGGCAAGGACCTACCCCAAGGAAGCCTTTACTGAATTTATTCGGTGGGTTACACACCAATGAATTCCCCGTAAAACACATAATACTGAGCCAGATAGAATCACTTTATATTCTAAAGTGCCGATGGGGTCCCAGAAAGGCACGATTTTTTTTAATGATTTTAAAAAAATGTCTTCGGTCTTAATTAACGCTATTTTACTCACTGATTTCGCCCATTTTAATTTATCTTAGTTGACATCTGTATTGTGTATCAATTTTTAACGCTTAGAAAAAGAGATCACGCGAATTTTGAATAACTCTAGTTTTTAAGAAGAAACCAAATTTTCTTGTTGTTCTTCTTCTTCTAAATCGTGCATTGAAATATAAAAGAAACTTGAAAATTTGAAATTGATGTCCATTGAAATTTTTTTGGGGCAAAATTTACTAGTCAGAGCCTCCTTCAAAAAATGGGGGAGCAACAAATATAAGGTAGAGTTTTAAAGCATAGAGTCTTAAAGTACATAAATAAAGTACCTTTCACCGGAAAGGACCTTACGTTTTCTGTAAAAAATAAAGAGAATCGACGGAGAGAGGGGTGTTTTTGCGTTGGAGTGAAAAAAAACATGAATAGGATGGATAATATTGTGCCAACAAACAATCGATAAGATACGTTGGAAAGGTAAAAGGTTAAAAAGTTGGAGGACGCTATTGAGCGAAAATAATCCAACGGAGACCAAACACATAAATTCGTAACCGTTCAACGGAGGGTTGTCGTGGACTTGAAAATGAGAAAACTGGGTTAGAAGTTTCATTATTCCATCAGGGTCAATATAAAAACAAACTCAAGATGAAATTTTCGCAAAGTGGATTTTTTGCGGACTTTGAATGTTTCGCAAGAGAGAACATTCTCCTACACGAACTTAGAAATATCCTGTACTGAATGCTCCTAAAAACGTTTTTTGAAGTCCGTTCCATTTACTGAAATAGTAAAACTAATTCTCCGTTAAGATGGATCAGGCCCCAAAACAGGGCTGTATTATTATTTGAACTTTCAATTAACTCAATATACTTTCATCAACTATAGAAATTGTATAACATTCGTAAATCCGTAAACGGTGTTCCTCCTTACAATGATAGAAACGATCATTACTCCTTATAAGTTGGTGATCTAGTCAACTGACACAACGTGACATGTATCATAACGCCTGGATGCAACTATTCGAGCTTCTTGGATGTCCGTGTTGCATACACGGCAAAATTGAAGGCGCTTTCAATTCTCCTCGCCATTCCCACGCGGGAAAATCAGCGCTATTGTTACTCCATGCTAGTGGTCAAATGAAGCTTTAAAAAGCAAATGGCGCGGAAGCAGACAGAAGAGAATGCAGCAGGGTGTTTTTTGGCGCCCATCTATTTTTCTAGAGATTTATCGCTGAATTAGGCAGCCGGTGTGTGGGGTTTATTCATAGAAAAATTAGAAATAACTGGCGACTGCGAGTGGGTCTAGTCCATTTCACATTACATTTCTTCACATCCAGGTAGCGGAGGAAGGAAAGGGTTCTAATACCAGGTGATGACGCGCTAAAGTCGACCTAAAACACCAAGTTTTTTTCAGATGTTCGATTGTAATTTTCAAAAGTTTTAATAACGACTATAAAAACGACCTTAAACCTAATAAAGATCTGATTCATGCAGTCATACAAGAGGCTTTTTGAGCTAGGTATTTTTCTGATTCATTTATTATAATACTAGTGGAGCTAATGGTGTGCTAGATTCATCAAATAATTGGAATATCTGTTTTAGAAAACAACGTGGACTTACCATGGTAGTGACAGAGACTTGAATTAAGTTAATCAAATAATAAATGAAAATAAAATGAATAAGAATGCAATAAAAAAGACGCAAGTATTTGAAAATGATTAGAAAAGAGACTTTAGCTCTTGAGTGAACAGCAGAGTAGAGGTAGACTGGGCTAAGGTAGGGAAATTGTATCACTCAGATTTGAAGGCGTTTTGCCTGTGCAAGCAATATTGAGCCAGGCAAAAAACTTTTAACCGCGACCGTCCCTTAAAGTGACGTATCGGTGAATAATTTTTCCTTGGGGCCAAATAGTGTCAGTTCTTTCACATACAGGTGCAAAATCCATGGTTGAGTCTGACCCGCGTCACCAGCCAATCAGAAGCGCTAATTCGGATTTAAGTTCAGTCGAGATTCGTCCTAATAATATGTAAGTACGATGGAAGGACCAAAAAAAAAAAAAATTGGTCTTAGTGTTTCGAAAGAAAAAAAATTTTCTTTGCCAGTGAAAAATCCTTTAAAAGCTCAAAATAAGAAATTATTTTGAAAAAATAATGAATCTGAGGAAGAAAAGAGAATAGCAATAAAGCGCGCGAACTATATTCGAACATAAATCCTTTTTTAGATAAGTTTAAACATTAATCCACCTGCTTGAGCACACAACATTATTACTGCACCAGCTCTACCAGACGAAAAAATAAACATTTTTGAAACAGGGTCTATGTACGTCCTTTATATTTCTTTCACTACGTTCGAACGACGTACCATTGTCATTTTGACTAACAATTAGTATGATTCGAAGTGTTTCTGATCTCAGTCATATTAACTATTTAGATTTTCAATACAGGTAAGACTGTCATATTTTTGGGCAAACGGGTGGAAGGTGTTATGCAACCAACAATCAGGTCTTACGTGTAGCCTCGGAAAAAATAACATCAAATTATCCTTAAAACAATTTGATCTGGGAGGATTGACTTGCAAAGTCGTAATTCCCCATCAAATATCACATTTTTATAACACAGAATTGGTGTTGCTGAACTGCGATATCTTTCGGCTTTTTTGTTGGGTTTTTTTTTTATAATTTCCGTTGGCATTATTTTCGAGACAATTTGTAAAAGTATTTACAAACGGAACACTTCAAAAATGTTAATGGCTTATAAGGTGGAATATTTTGACAAGGATTTTTCTCCTAATTTCTGTTGGCATTATTTTCGAGACAATTTATAAAAGTATGTACAAACGGAGCACTTCAAAAATTGTAATGGCTTATAAGTTGGAATGTCTTGGCGAGGATCTTAAGATGATGCAGTTTCATAGTCAATAAACAGAATCACCTTGTAGCTTAACCACATTAGTTCGTCAATCCAAAGGGTATTCAACAGTTGAGCAACAAAGTTGTTGAGTGGTCATAAAAGTTCAGGTTTCCTTAAGGTCGAGAAGTACACCACGGAATGACCCCATAAAATTAAGAGCTGAGAGACTTATGATGTACCGTTACTCTCTCTGCAACCTCTAGGTATACAGGAAGTTAAAGGAGATATTATATTATTCTTTATGTATAAAAATAAACAAAACCCATACAATAGATCCGAACTGCATGTTCGTCACTCAATTTTTTAAATAAAAATAAATAAATAAAAAAAAATTGCAACGACGCGGACATCAACAGCTGTACTGCCATGCTAAGGAAGAATGCCGTACGAACCTTCAGGCATTGCCGTATTTCCTTCAATATAAATCGAATTTATTGGAAAAAATGTAAATATTTTTCTCAAAATTTTCAGACAATTTTGTTCGCAATTTGATCTAAAATCTGAAAATTGCAAAAAAAATATACATAATTTCCCTAAAAATAAATGTTTTAGGTATCTGGGGAAATTTGGCAACTCTCGAATGTTCATACGGCGTTTTTCCTTAGCACGGCAGTGTAGTCTTACTGTTTTTGAACTAAGGTCAGAATAAACATACCAACTGGTTCACTTACCGATTGCGTCACAACAAAAGATGAGTGCGTCTAGCAACCTCCGATATTTCTGGTATTCGTCGGCATCCAGTCTGAATTCGAAATCACCACCAGACAATTTTATGATTTGATTTCCGGGACGAATGAATTATTTCGTTGGAAAGCCCTCTTGACGCGTCACTAATTTGACTGAGTTCAAAGCGTCATTCTTGTGAGTTCGGTTTTATTAAGCCAACTTCCATAGTGTTCTCGACCAAGTTATTTTCATACCTAGAAGTGTAGAAAGTTTCAAACATTAATTGTCTCAGATTAAACTGGAGTTGCTGTTAGCACGATGAGTTAGAGGAAAAGCTGCCTACGGTTTTGAAAAGGGAAAATTATTTCTAGGTATGGGAACGTTCTCTGCACAGGTCAACAGATTTGGGTCACCACGTTGCCCGCCGAATCGAAAAATTATCGGAATTGTCGTTTGAAATAGACAAATTCCATTTTTAAGTTGGCATGGGCATTAGTTCCGGACACCGAAATTTAGCTCTAGATACAAACAATAGAAAAAACAACTTAATCGGCCCGAAACATTTATGAAGAAACAACTTAAAACGGGACTAAGGCTGCAAATAATAAACATAAAATAAAATTTAAAAATAAAACCCGGGACGTTTCGCAGGGATCACACCCGCATTTTCAACCGGCAAAAACAAGAAAATTAAAAATCAAAATAACAAGAAATTTTGCCGGTTGAAAACGCGGGTGTGATCTCTGCGAAACGTCCCAGGTTTTTTTTTTTTTTAAATTTTATTTTATGTTTATTATTTGCGGCCTTAGTCCCGTTTTAAGTTGTTTCTTGATACAAACAATTTTAGTAACTCTTTCGGTCATTTTAAGGAAAGTATTTTTCCACAAGGCAAAATTTTAACTCAGAAAATCCTACGGTTTAGTTTCAAATTCAACCGTTAATATAAGTTTCTGGAAGAAAATTCCGAGCGAAAAAAGCCGAGGCCTGTCGCCATCTCCCGCGCAATCAGAATGTACGTGATGCAGGTCGACGGTGAAACTACCAAACTACGCATCTCGGTTTTCAACGTTGCGTACTTCCCGCCGTACTTTATTTTTTACATGAAAAACTACTCAACTTCAATTCTTGAGAACTTCTGTGATTCTTCCTCTCAGTTAGAAGAAATCTCCGCGAAAACTTGAGGGAATGATACTGATTTTTGTTCTTCAAGAAAATAAAATGGGAGTGGAGATTTTTAAACACCGCAAACGAGATGCACGGTGCAGTTTCACCACCGATATACGAAAATTGGAGGAGCTTCCGCTTTACAAATACAAGTAGCGCCTTGATGCAACTATTCGTGTTCCACGGATGTGCGTGTTGCGTGCTCAAAATTGAAGGCGTTTCTGCTTTTCTCACCTCTTTAGAAATGCACGGGAGTTGCCGTTACTTGTAACACCCGAATAACAGAGTACCTATGTAAAGATATTATTGTATCATCTCAATCCTTTTACAACAAAACAGGCGCCGCTCTCAGATTGGTCGTTAACCATTTAGAGCCAGACAGTTCTGAGCTTTCATGGATTTTCTGATTTCAAATTGGACTACATTTTGCAATTAGGAACTATAAATTCCAGCCCGGTATACAAACAACGCGTGTGCCATCAGTTTCCCTATGCACACAATTGTTTTTTCAGATGAGCCAGAATTTACAGTTCCAAATTGCAAAATGCAGTCCAATTGTTGAATTAATTTCTGAAAAAATTTGATGAGTATTTTCTTCAAGAATTTTCTCCTTTTTCTGTTAGTTTCATTCGTCTCTTCCTTAATGAAACGAATTTTCATTGATCGGTTTTCTTAAAAATAAAAAAAACTCGTAATTAGGTAAGTACGTAACCTGTAAATTTTCTTGTTAAAGTTGTATTGGATTTAATTTTGATCATTTTATGTTTCTTCAAAAATATCGAGGAATATTCGTCAGAAATCTGACATCCGTCTGTTAGCGTATGGGTTACAGCTAAATTAATGATCAGCTCGTTGACGTAATTTTCAGATTTTAGATTAGCCAGTCCGCGAGCTGGCTACCCGGTTCACGGACTGGGCAAAAACATTGGCCAGTACGCGGACAGGCCAAAACAATTACTCGATCTACGGACTGGCCAATTTTGGCAATCGAGCGTAATAAATCTAAAAATATACCGGGTTAATTTTTATGACTTTGCAACTGCTGGCATTTGAGAATAATACTTAGATCAGTTTGCTGTCTCAAAAGTCTCAAATCGTGACCCCTACTTTAATTCGGATTTTTTTTTCTCATTGAGATGATATCTGTAGAAACTTTGATTTAGTCGTGTCGTTACGAAGAAAAAAAAATAATGATAAATTTACAAATAGAAAACAGAGTTGCAAAATAGGGGACCTGAAATGCATTCAAGGTCATTCTGATTGCATTCATCAATATTTTCAATTCATTTCCTATCAGTCATACAGACTTAACTAAAAAGAAAAGAAGAAAAAACAGAGCTTGCATCACAATGCTCTGAGGAGTTAGAAAGAAGCTGGCAAGATTCAGAGACAATGTAAGAAACAAATCTCTGGAGCCATAATTATAACTATTGCGGCAAGGAGAGTTTTTGCATTCCTACCTCGGAAATTTAAGGCAAAGTGCATAGCCCATTCACACCATCTTTTGTCCTTATTCTTTCCTCTAAATTATGAATCGAAAAGGTCATCGCCTTCAAAAAGTAATTTTCAACATTCTATAACTCAGGTGATTTGTGGCCTTTCTCCAAAAATGCCGGCTCCCATGAAATTTACCGAGTTTTGAAATCTTGCCACAGATTGCCACCCTTTTTTTGTACGATAAATGCAAAGACAATGAATCTCACCGGTCGTAACAGCACGGATCAGCGTTTTTCTCTCTGCAGAATCACACAATCCTTCGCATAGAACAACGGATTTACACATAAGATATTCCATTCACAGTATAACTTATCACCGGATGACTATGTATCACTAGATTCGAATATCGATGGGTATTTATGAAATTGATTCATACGATTCGTGTAACTTCATCCCACCCCCAATCAGTGATGTGTCAAATTGCACGCGTGCTCGTGAATTTTCACCGGCAAATGATCACACTTAGCGGGCGCGAGTATCGTGATCAAACTGAACGGTGTCGGTGACTGTTCGTCGCCGAATGGACAACCGGTTGCCTGGGGCGCTCGAACCAGTTTGTGTAATCAGCCGAACGGATTTGGATCGGAGTCGCCGAGTCTACTCATCGTTATGGGTCAAGTTTTTTTTTCTCTCTCTCTCTCTTTACCGTAGTTCCCAAATTTTTCGCGGTTCTGCCTCTGCAAAATTTGGCAACGTGACATTGGGATTAATTACCACTACCTTACACTCTAAGACCCTCATATCGTCGCTTTGCTGATAAAAAGGCGTAACTACACATAGAGATGGTCCCGGGAAATCGTTGAGTTATATGGACAGCAGCGGGCTGATTTTTGACATTGATGGACAAAACCATAGACAAAGAAGACAAAACTGATATGGAGGGAGCCTATTGGTAAAAACGGGTGGTTGTAATGGACAAAAGATGTAGATAATAGACTAACAAACAGCAACCTACGAGAAGCCGGATATTTAGTTTATCCTTTACCCCCCTAGTCTATAAGAACCTTTTATTTCAACCAATAGGATTGCTTGACACTCTTTATGTCTTTTTTGTCTATCAAGTTCAACAATCAGCCCGCAGAATTCATTGGGAGGTATATAGTTAAGTCCTTATGAAATGAGAGCGACGATATACTGACCGTCCAGCGGGCCGATTATTGAAATTTATAGACAAAGCTGTAGACAAAGAAGACACAAGGAAATAGGAAGTCAAAACCAAATATGTGAAGAAATCTATTGAAAATTGTGATCTTTTACTTTTAAAATGCTGGACATCTCATCCAGTCTTGATATCGTTGAACCAGTCATATATTTGGCTAGAGATAACTTATTTAAAGGGTCATCATCTTTCCTCATCTTAAATCGCAATTCAAAAGGACTGAATATAGCAAACAGAAACCAAGTTTGTGGCTGCTGTTGAAAGCCCCATAGCTCCAATGAACAGTTTACTCATGATATATGTTTTTGGGTGTCGCCTAAAAACAGTGTTCCTTTCTGCTAAACTCAACCCATATCATGTTATCTTGTCCTTTGTTTTCAAAAATGACGATGTGGAAACAAAGCGGTAATTGGGAAACTTTGCAAAGCAATGACCTCTTAGATTCTCTGCGTCAATTAAAAATCTTTATGGGGAGAGACTTGTTGAGGAGGAAGTGTTGTTGGAAGAGAACGGCAGTTCGGAACTTTCCAGGGCCCCTTCAGAAGGGGATATTTTAGCCATTAAATACTTCCTTAAAAAGTTAGAAAACAACTTCCAATAGGATTCTGTGTTTTATTCAAAGCACTCAGAATAACCATTGTCTTTCGTTTGTCCACGCGTTTAGTTGTCTAGTTATTTTTGTGTTTGTAAAGGCAAAACTTAGGACTGCTCATCTTTTCTCTCAAAGTTGCCATTAATTTCAATTTTTTCCTATTTATGTTTTTCATTCTCGAGTAACTGATAGAAAAAAAAATCGAACAAGATGACAGGATAACAAAGGGGTGCCTGCAAAAGCTTGGTTGTATTCGCAATCTCATTAAAAGTGCGAAAATGTAATTTGTTTTTCTCTGTCAGTACTTTTTTTCTTGACACATTACTATTTCACGTTTTTTTGTACTTTTTTTGCCGTCATCATGTGACCATTCTTGGAAAAGGGGATCATCGAGTTATAAGAACTTTACGGTATCCAATTTGCATCACGAAGAATTAGTTTAATCTCAAAATTGCCGCGGAGGAAAGTAAGTTTACCGGAGAATTCACGATTTTCCACGATTTTTTTAGGTCTCCTTTGAATAAATACTGCAGCTAAGTAGTAGAATATACGTTTATGCCATTAAAAATCCTCCAAATTTTCTAAATTTCTTTATTTGAGTTTTGATATTGCCTCGTATCCCAACATTCGCCTTCTCACGGAAAAAAACTTCGGTTCTTTCGATATGCTGAAGCATAGTCTAGATAACTGAAATTTTTGGTTGCAGGAACCGAACTGAAAGTCAAGTGAGCTCTAGTTTTCGTTTTAGGCAGCTCGCATTCTTTACAAAAGCCTTCGATCGTCAGAACCAAATTCTGTTCGAGTAAGACCGAATCTTGAGCACCGTGTGCCAAAAACTTCAGTGTTCCATCACATATATTTAAAAGCTCTCTGAACTCCTAAATTTTCATTTTTTGTCACGTACTTTCTGCGGCTATTTACGGATGATGACAGTCTGCAAATGGGTCCGTTTTCTTCAGATTTTGTAAAAATGACCCAGCTTTTTATATATATGACGTGATAAGGTTGTACATGGGATTCTTTCATTTAAACAATGAAATTGTTCATTTCATGCATGGTCACAACTCGTTCTAAAGATCTACACGGCCGATTTTCATGACTTTTGCTGCTATTGATGAGAAATGGTCTTTAGATGAGTCTGTGTTGTTAGTCTACATAGATCTAGTAGAACTTAGAAGGCACGAAGCGCTTTATGGGGGTTGCGTCGCGTAGCAGCCAGAGGGCGTACCCCCCTGATTTGAACGGAATTATTTCGTTCTCGTAACCAAAGTTTCTTTCTCTGCACAGGGTTGCCACATAGTCAGGGAGTACCGGGAAAACTGGGAAATGTCAGGGATGATGATTAAAGTACCAGGGAAAAATTGTTAATTTACTTTTACTGGCTTTCTTGGAAGTATTTTACGGTTGGGACAACAAATTTCGCCGGGCTACTATTTCAAATCATGTCTTTTTGGCCGTAAGACCCATCTTTAATTCTTAAGGAATTTTCCTCTAATGTGTAAGGTAAATCAGGGAAATGTCAGGGAATTTTATTTTCTAAATTTTGTGGCAACCCTGTCCGTGCCCGAGATCCGCCTCTCGTTTAACGCAATCGAGCATTTTTTCAACTGCTGGAAAACGGAAACCTAACAAGCGACCAAAATGGCGAAATTTCGAAAATAAGTGGGAAAAGATACCGCTGAGAAGTTGTGCAATCGTTTTCCCCGTACGGAAAGAGAGGAGAACCACGGGTTTAGACGGGGTCGAGTCGCATCGGCGGCAGTTGAGCAAGCTCTATCGATAAAACGACTTTAACGAAGTGAAGTTTTTAACTTCCTTGTCCCCGAGAAGACGGATTTTCCGATCCGGGAAAGAAGGGATATTAGATTTAACTTCTCCTCGGCAACTATTTTCTTATTTTCTCATCTCCTCTCATTGTCTTGTTCTGCCGATGGGGTTGGGGAGTGTATGGTGTGTAGCCGCCCCGTCGTGCTGTTCCTTCTCGGGGGCGAAGATTTGTAACTTTTGAACCGCCCTTATTCGTAGGTTCAAATCATTATTATCAAGCGTCATTCACGTTATAACGGAAGGAACTTATGTCATAAAATAACCAATTACTGAATAACTAGTTAAAGTAGGCAGAGAGCAAGAAAGGTTATTCAGTTATTTTGAAGGTGTCCGACAAAAAATTGACTGAGTCAGTGAGTGAGTGAGAGAGAGAAAGAAAGAAGGGAGGAGGAAAGGAGGGGGGAAGAAAGATAAATCTTTTGTTTTTCATAGGTTCTGTAATTGTAATTTCCTATTTTTAATTCAAGGGTAAAGTAGGTCATGGCAAAAACTTACATTCTAAAAATTTAATGCGAAAAGAAACGAACAACGGAAATTTTGAATTATTCCGAGTATAGATGATTAATGGTTTTTAAGAAAGATATAAAATTGATTAAAACATACTGGTAAGGGTTAAAAAATCTAAAACATTTTTTTAAAATTTATCCATGAGTATTCCAAAATTTCAATTGCAGAAGGAGGATGAATAAATCATTTTTCAAAACGAAGTCCGGCGTCAAACAGCCGGATTTTGCACGCCTCTAGAAGTTCTTCATTGGTATTCCTGAATTTTCCAAAATGTAGAAGGAGATCCTTGAATTTTCTTTTCGTAGGGTTCACTTATAAGACAGTTCGGAAGTTCGTTGGTTTGTATTTTCTTCTTTATTGCTTTGGATAAAACGACCGTTCGGCCGATCGAATCACGTGAATCTCGATCCCTCACTTGTGATTTTGAAGCTAGTTTTTGTGTGGATGATGTGCATTTCGTGATTCTGGAGGCTCCTAAGGGCGCTAAAACGACTGTTCGGCCGATCGAATCACATGAATCGCGATCCCTCACTTGTGACTTCTAAGCGAGTTTTTGTGTGGATGATGTGCATTTCGTAATTCTGGCTGCTCCTAAGGGCGCTAAAACGACCGTTCGGCCGATGGAATCACGTGAATCTCGATCCCTCACTTGTGACTTTTAAGCAAGTTTTTGTGTAGATGATGTGCATTTCGTGATTCTGGATATGCTCCTAAGGGCGCTAAAACGACCATTTGGCCGATCGAATATCACATAAATCGCGATCCCTCACATTTGACTTTTAAGCGAGTTTTTGTGTGGATGATGTGCATTTCGTGATTCTGGAGGCTCTTAGTTGCGCTAAAACGACCGTTCGGCCGATGGAATCACATGAATCTCGATCCCTCACTTGTGACTTCTAAGCAAGTTTTTGTGTGGATGATGTGCATTTCGTGATTCTGGAGGCTCTTAGTTGCGCTAAAACGACCGTTCGGCCGATGGAATCACGTGAATCTCGATCCCTCACTTGTGACTTCTAAGCGAGTTTTTGTGTGGATGATTTGCATTTCGTGATTCTGGATATGCTCCTAAGGGCGCTAAAACGACCATTTGGCCGATCGAATCACATGAATCGCGATCCCTCACATATGACTTTTAAGCGAGTTTTTGTGTGGATGATGTGCATTTCGTGATTCTGGAGGCTCTTAGTTGCGCTAAAACGACCGTTCGGCCGATGGAATCACGTGAATCTCGATCCCTCACTTGTGACTTTTAAGC